AGGATATATATAATCTTGGAATCTTGGAACTTTTTTAACCACTCGTGGGATCCAGAGGAAGACTGCAGACCACCACTTTTCAACCGGACTGCAATCACCACTCTTGACCAGACTGCAACAGCACTCTCACCAACAGGTTTTTCCCTCTCCTTTTACTTTGGACTCAGGGTGCCCAAGGAACACCACTCTATTCATGCTCCAGGGTGCTGGGTTATACATTTGGATTTTGTGGATTAAAATCAACTGTTTGTCTGTATAATCGTATTTATTGTATTATTTTATTAAATTGTTATTCTGATTTATAATCTATCCTTTGAGTTGAGTCCATTTCCCCTGCAAGTTTACCTTTAAACCAGCACAGAGTAGTAGTATGGCTTCATGGATCTTTCCTTCTAAATTTCCAACAACATAGAATGAAAGAATCATATCTGGACATAGGAATATAGCAATATAAAATATAGAATCATAGAATCATTAAGGCTGGAAAAGACCTCCAAGATCACCGAGTCCAATCTTTGACTGAACATCACCGTGTCAACTAAACCACAGTACTGAGTGCCACATCCAGTTGTTTCTTGAACACTTCCAGGGACAGTGATTCCACCACCTCCCTGGGCAGCCTGTTCCAATGCTTAACCAAGCTTTCAGTGAAAAAATTCCTTCTGATGTCCAACCGGAACCTCCCCTGGTACAGCTTGAGGCCATTTCCTCTCATCCTGTAATCTACTTGCCTGGAAGTAGAGGCCAACTCTACAACTTCTGATAAGGAGCGACAAACTGAAACTCCTCCAGGCTAAACACTCCCAGCTACCTCAGCTGCTCCTCATAAGACTTACTCTCTAGACCTTTCACCACCCCTTGCCCTTCTCTGGATGTGCTCCAGAACCTCAATGTCCTTCCTGAATTGAGAGGCCCAGAACTGGACACAAAGCTCAAGGTGTGGCCTCAACAGCCCCAAGTACAGAGGGACAATCATTGCCCTGGTCCTGCTGGACACACTATTCCTGATACAAGTCCTCTTGGTCACCTGGGCACGCTGCTGGTTCATGTTCAGCTGCTGTTAACCAGCACCCCCAGGTCTTTTTCCACCAGGCAGCTTTCCAGCCACTCTTCCTCACGCCTGCAGCGCTGCACGGGATTATCATGACTCAAGTGCAGGACTCACCTTGCCAAACCAAATAATAGAGGGCATCACTGAAGCTGCATGCAACTGAAAATCCATAAGCATCAATAATACCTAGAGAGAGAATATAGAATAAGAGCATGGAGCCTTTTCTTCCCCCCAGGTATTTTGTTTTCAGCTTCTAGCAAACAACAATTTAGGGGTTTTTTGAGCTGAAAATGACACTCAGATTCTTTTCTTTTTTTTCTGAATTTCTGCTCTGAGTTTGTTCAATGTCTTTCTACATTTCATTATATTTTCAGTTTCCAAAAAATCCCATGGCAATCCTGCATTGTGTGAAAAGTGTGTAAGGGATGAATGACTAGGTTACATGTAAGGATTGGAAAATAAATAATGCATTCAATTTCAGTATTTTAGGAACATTTTTCAGTGCTGTGGCATTTTAAAAAATAAATAGATGAGCAGAACTTTTGAACTCCATACCTTGAATGTTAGAGCATTTAGACCACTTTATGCTCTGAATATTTAGGCTTAAGGACATAACACTGTCTCTTTTTTTTTTTCACCTTTACTATGAACCTATAAAAACTTTAGTATTTTCAACATGTCAGGAAAATAGTCTATCTATACTGACAGTGTTAATGTTATCATGTTGTTCCATCTGTTGATGCAAACTTTTGATGATATTTTCATGAAGAATTTCCCTTTGGGGAATGTGCTGTATGTATTTGATTTGCTTTCTATGGCATGTTTTCCAATATTGAAAGACATGTGATTTCTTTTTTATAATCCAATAAAAACAAAACAATGGGTTCATGGCATATTTGTTAATCAGTTATACAAAGAGAGAATTTTATCTTTGGATAATTTTCTCATTTGTTAAATTTTTTCCTCATACTGTTGATGTAGTGGCATTTTGCACACAGAAATAAATCAAAATGTAGTTGAAATAGATAGCAGCATCATTTTTCTGTTGATCTACTGCAATGAAAAAACTGACATTGGGAAAATCAGAATACTCTGTAGATCACAAGAATGTCCCTGGATATAAATGTTGCAAGATGTACTTTCTGAAATGTTAAAAGGAAATTTGCAGCGTTTGGTCTGGTAAATTTTGCTGCGAGTTACATAGAACTTAACAGAGACCTCTCCAGAAACTGTACATACTTATTTCCTGGACTGTTCTTCTTAGTCATAATGAAGCGCCACTGCTTGATGAAAACCTGAATATAGATATTAAGCTACCTAAAGAGGTAGCTTCACCTCTGAGCTTATCCTTTCCTGGCACACAAATCAAATTAGTTTGTTATCACAGGGGGAAAGCAAGTCAAAGCAGAAAATGTTTAAGATGTGTGTCTAAGACAGGTGAGATGAGTTACATTCTGAATGTGTACAAATTTCTTTACTGGAGTTAAAGAAAACTTAGTTTTTCTTTACAAACAGATTTTGTAACAGAAACTGTCAGAGGACTGTCTTTGGTTGTGAGCCAACCTGATGTGAATCGTTTGTATCTGTATCACTAAACTCTCTTACCTTCTCAACAGATTTGCTGTGCTGACTACCTTACCCCCAGACCACGCCAACCATGCCAGAGGATTAGCCATGGACAAGGCATTGAGAAACCCACTTTGACCAGCAAATTAGACCACATAATCCCCAGAGACACCTTCCAACCCAAATCATTCTACAAACCTTTGATTATTTGGAAGACTACTAGCACCACAGACCTGACAGTGTGTATAGCAATAGCCTAATACAAAGGATCGTATTGCATAAACCTCAGGCTCTTTGGCTGATGTAGAATAATCTATAGACTAAATATACAATGGGAACAAAAACGTTAAAAAAATAAAAACCTGATCTTTTCTTGTTTGCACATCTGATTTCAGTAAATGTTTTCTGACGAAATCTATTATGCTGAAATTTCTGTGCATCCTTAGTAAAAGCAGCAATTTCCTTATTCTTTGGTATTGTGATCATTTTCCTGATGAATGGGGAAGCTGTGATTCAGGCTTCTAAGGTATAAATTGCAAAAAATATACTATTAATAAAAAAGTCTGTAATCATTGATGTACTCCTGTAAGTTCAAATTACTATTGCAGTGCTAGTATTGTAGTGTCGTAGCTTGTCAACTTGTACTATATTATGTTGGATAGCTAGGTCTGGCAGTATCCCATGTAAAAAAAAATTAAAAAGTAGGTGAGAAAAAATCATGAAAGTATCATACATCCAGTTTTGTGAGTCTGAAGGTACAGACCTCATCCATCTTGATCCCATCCAAGACAGCTTGAAGTTCAAACTTTTACCAAATATCACAGTAGGAGTAATTGTCTTTACAATCACAGCAGACTCATAGATGTAGCCTATGGCTTACACTTTGGTAGGAAGTGCAGTTCAATAAACACACATTATGTTCTACAGAAGTTGGGTATGACAAAAAATCATGGTTCCTCTCAAGTTAAAATAATTTTCCTCCAGAAGTTATAAGTGTAATTTTAGCACATGTGGATGTATTCAAGACATCCACCATGCTCACACTTTGATAGTAGCACACCTGTGGCAGGGTGGATGTGCAGGAACCACAGCCGGTTCTCAGGGCTTCACATGGGGCTTTACAGCACATGAAAGCTGTGGTTCTTCACAACTGAGCTGAGTAATCAGGCCTGCATGTATGAACACAGCTACACAGCTGATGCCACTCCAGACATCCCTGTTGTTTTCATTAGTACAACAATATGACAGAATAAAGCTCTGCAGCACACTGAAGAATGCATATTGATATGCATAGTGTTTATTTGAAACTGATATCAGTACAGGAAGGTATGAGGGGAAAAGCAGGTGCTAAGGCAGAGTTTGAGAGGGGTATGGGATTTGTTCAGAGAAAAAGAATAAAATGTAAAGATGATCACAGGCTGTCTTGCTCATTTGAATTATTTTTAAAATACTGCTTTCCTAGATATGCACTGCAATTTTTTATCTGCTGGCCACTGCTATAGATAATGTGAAAAATTTTAAGTAGCTTATTAATATGAGCCTGAATAATTTTGGTTCCTAATTCATTCATAATCTTTGGGGATAATCAATATTTTATCAAACATTTGTTGAAAAAAGAGCCACCACGGTGGTCATGGGGCTGAGCAGTTAGTTTATAATGGGAGGCTGAGGGAACTGAACATATTCAATCTGGAGAAGAGATGGCTCTGAGAGATAACAGCAGATTATGAGTAACTTTGAGGTGCTTATGGAGCCATACTGTTCACAGTGGTGTATGTGGCAAGAGACCGAGACCATGTCTCAGGAGTTGAACTAGGAGAAGTTCAGACTGAAAATAAGGAAAAAAAAAAACCACAAGGACAGTCAAGCATCGGTACTAATGAGGTTGTACATCTTTGGAGGTTTCCAAGACACAACTGGACAAATAGCTGAAGAACCTAGTGTGATCTCATAGCTGATCATGCTTTCAGCAGAAGGCTGGAATAGAGGCCTCCTGAGATCCCTCCCAATTTGACTTATCCTATGCTCCTTTGATCTTGAACATTAATTTCCACAAAAGTGTATTATAAGCCTGATATGGTTTCAAGCTGGCTCCCTGCCAAGTCTCCAAACCTTACCACAAGAAGTCCCCCCCCCACCAAACCTCAGGAAGAAGAGGAAAAAAAACCAAGAGAACTGAAACGAGAGAGAGACAGCTAAAGCAATATATATAAATATATTTACACTTATATTACATTTATATACAATTGAAATATATATACAATTTCAAAAGGAAAAGGGAAAGGGAAGGGGGAAGGGAAAAAGGAACACAAACGAAATAAAATATACACTATCAATAGCCCAAGATCTAGCAACTAAAAGAATTAGCAAAAGAATATCTTACTACTCTCCTTGGGACAATGGAAAGTCACACTGGAACAACTGCCGGCAACCTCTGTCTCCCAAGGTCGGCAAGGCCTTACCAGGCCTCACTCCCCAACACGACAGACTCAACAGCAGGGAACCTGCACCTCCAAAGCCACCGGACGGAAAGAGAGGGTGAAGGCTTCTCCTCCTTTCGTCTTATACCCTAGCTTATGTAAAAATCGTAGGGAATACTGGGTAAATCTGGGCACTTCCTTGGTTACAAATTGGTCACCAAGGAAGGCCTAGACTAAACTACCACAAAGCCAAAAAAGGTCTAAGAAAGTATTTTAATATTCTTGGCATTCTAAAGCTCAAAAATAAACAATTTCTAAAAAAATTAAATTTCTAAGTGCTTTTCCACCATAAACACCTATATTAATTTTTTTCTCAAGCAACTGAAATTATTTCCCTGCTAAGAACATCCTGAAAACTCCATGGCACATCCCTTTGTTAGAGATTGTTAATATGCTTTCCTTTATTTAGCACTTTAATACCTCTTATCTTAAGAAAACACTTAATTCTACAATGTGGAAGGTAATTTTAAGGAGAAGACATTTAGTGAAATGAGTTGATATCGATTTCACTAATTAGTTCTGAAAAGAATCTCATTGAGAATGCAAAAACCCAATCCTGCAGCTGTGGTCAGTGTGGGTGTTGATTGGCAGCTTTTTGTTTGTTTTCAATGATTGTTCTTTTATGAAGCAATAAAACAAAGGCTTTGAACAAGTTTAAGGTAGAAACATTCCTGTGGAGTCACATAATCTTTAATTTATAAAAAGCTGAAGAGAACTTTTAAGTTCTGTGGTACAAGCAGAGCAAATTGATCAGCAAGTGTTTTATTTTCTCTTCATTACAACACAGATAGGGAAACACTCTGACAGAAGAAAGCAAAAAATACAGACTGTGGTGGGGGAAAGGATGATTGGGGTCCAATCATAACAAAAGTCTCAAGTCAAGTGGATATCCTTACTGGAAAAAAAAAGGGAATGGTAACTCAGGTAAATGATAGAAAAATGAAAATGTAAGTTGCAAATGAAAAGAAATCTGGGGGGTGGGGAGGAAAAATAAATATTTTTATGATACCTTTGAAATACAGAAATAGAAAAACTGTTTATAATAAATAACCGCACTGGTTGTACTTGAGGGAAAAAAGTTGTAAATGCTTGGATATAAGATACAAATATTGGCCTGTTGTCAATAGTGCCCAACAACAGAGAACCATCAGGGCACAGCAAGTCTGTAGCTTACCCAAAGCTTCTTCCCAGCCTCCAACAATTTGTAACTTGAGGACTTCCTGAGCTAGAAAGCCTTTTATCTGGCTTCTTTATATTCGATAAATACTATAGGATTTTTGAGATGTTTCATGAACCCACATAAAATTTATCATCTATAATAACCCATGAGAAGGAATTAGCACCTAAACTACACACCATGTGGAGCATGATGGTTTTGAACCCATCCCCTGTTGGAATCAGCTGAATTTTCTAAGCCTTTCTTGATTTTCTGCATGACACTCAGGATCTATAAAATCTGAAAGATTTTCATTATATGTTATCCTTATCCCTGCCTCTCCCAGACAACTTCTTCCCAGTCTCCGCCTATGCTTCAGTCATCTTTATGATCCTCTCTGCATTTTTTTATATAGACTTTCTGAGACAGGAAAACCAGATTATGTGTAGTATTTAAGATGTGAGCATAAAATATATTTTTACAGTGATATAAGTTGATGGGTTCTTCTCTATTCCTTTTCTAAAATACCTATAATATATTTGCTTTGTTGAATCTTAATGAGCATTAAGCTGATGTTTTCACAAAGTTGTTACAAAGTTAGATATTTTCTCTTAATGCCAATATTCAATCTAGAGACCACCATTGTGCATATTAAAAGAAAAAAAAATCCTTAATTTTTTACAGATGAACAACTTTTCCACTGACCTTCCTTCACTTTGCCTCTCTTTTGATGGCTGCTCGACAGAGGGGATTATAAAGTAATACAGCAATTTCTTTATGCTGAGTTTAGTCTCAGAATGGATTGGTAAGATATATTCTTCAGACCCGTACAAGTAATATACAGGCAATGTCAGAGAACAGGTTAACAGTGAAGTGCTAAAACAAATTGATTAACAGCTGCAAGGTTTGAAAGCCAGATGAAACACTCCAGAAAGTTCCAGGGGAAAAAAACCCAAAACCTTACTTTAATCTGCTATTATCAGGGAGTACTGGAGGATGGAAAGTACTGTGATTGTCCTTAAGAACTGCATTGGCAGTGATCCAGAACTACAAACTAGTAAGTTTTACTTCAGCACTGGGCAAATGGAGGGGGAAATGGAAATCAAATTTGAGATTACCTAGATGAACATGTGATGCTGGCAACCTTCTATTGCTTTTTATAGAGGAAACCTGTGACTCTCTAAATTACTTTAATTTTTCAAGCAAGCTAGCAAAATTTAATTAAAACAAGACCTGATTATAGGAATTATTAGCTTTTAAAACTTTTACAATATAGAATTTTACTATTCCTGGCATTAAGAAGTTGACCAGTATTTTACCAGAATTAATAAAAAATTAAAAATTTAGTAACTGTTATATGGGAGGTAATAAAAACCTGATTAGTGTTGGCTTTTACATAAATTTAACACAGAAATCTAAGACTATAATTTAGTTGTTTGCAGTCCTTCTCTATTCAATAGAGAGAAATATGTACATTCAGATGATGATTTATCACATCCTAAACCAAATCTCATAGAGGTCAGAGGAACTGCTCTTTGGAAATATGTCTCTCACATTGATGATAGATAGAGTTCAAAGGAGTTAGTGAGATCAATTAACTAAATTTTAGATAGTCAAAGTCAATGAGAGGATTCCCTCTCTCTACAGTGACATAGAGAAGCCATTGTGTAGTACCACCAGCATTGTACAATACTCACATTGCACTAGCCTCAAATATTGGATAGAGTTATTGATCTTTTTGTGTTAAACATACACAAGCCCACAAAATCTGTCTTGTCTGAGATTATGAAATTAAATAGATTTAGTTCTTCAAGTGAATATTTGATTCCTAGATCCACATGACTTTAGCATCTCTGACTATCAAGGCATCCTTTCTGGGATAGACTGTCCTCAGTCTTGTGTGACAGAAAGGAAATCAAAAGGAAAAAATGTCCATTGTGAGCTATGTGACCTTCAAGGATTTATGCAATCAGCATAATCTCTGCCTCAATGAGTTATACACTCACCTGTGCCACAATGCCAGGGATATTTCTGTTTAGTTGCTAATTCAGTTTATGAATTATATAACTAAATCAATGGCTCCCATTACTTGTAATTTGAGCTATCGACTTTTCCTTTACTTCATATGATTCAAGTGAAGAAATTTCCTCACTGCAGAGGGGGAAAAAAGGGCAAAAATACCCCCTAACTTAAAACAACAAAAGTGAAATCAAGCAGAGTGAAAAGAAAGTGGCTTGCAGCTTTTTCAGGCCTGAGATAATGCATATGGTATGCTAACAAATTACAGGGAACAGTAGCATATCTTTCTGTCATGAAATGCAATTTGTGTCAGGAAATCATGTTTCTACTGATCACAAAGATCTAGAAGTACTAGAGGATTTAATGCAAAGTCACATGTTCTTGGGATTTTTATGATCTGTAATTCATTATATAGAAGACTCAGAAAAGGGGATTTTTCCAGCCCAAGTGTCCCTGGATCTGTAGGCTCATTGGACCTCTGAACCCTAACCCTAATTGTAATGGCCACTATGAGCTTAGTCTGAGGTGCCCATCATCATTGGTGGCCCAGATCTAAAAAGTGTGGAAGGAGAAATGTTGGTACAATGCTGAGCTCCCCTTGGCATATGTTCTCCAGCACCAGTGTCCCTGGAGCTGTAGGTTTTGTGGTTTTCTGAACCCTAAATCACTGCTATGAGCTGAGGCTGAGATCCCCGTGAGTCTACGAAGACTTAAAGTACCAAGTACCATGGGTGGCCAAGACTTAAAGGAGCAATGTTGGTGTAGTGCTATGCTCCCCTTGGTATGCCTTTCCCAGACCCAGTGTCCTTAGAGCTTTGACTTTCTGATTCTCTGAACCCTAGCTCTAACCATAATGGTGTCTTTTGTCTGCAGATAAGAACTCCAGCACCATGGGTGGGCCAGATAAGAAAGCTGTAGAAGGAGCAATGTTGGTGGAGTGCCATCCTCCATTTGGCATGCTGTTTCTGGCTCTGAGTAACCTGAGAAACTCAGAGCCATTTCTGTCTCTGACTAAGCTGGTCTAGTGGAAGGTTCCCTGCCCATGGCAGAGGGGTTGGAACTAGATGATATTTAAGGTCCCTTCAAACCCAAACCATTCATGATCGTATGAAAACCGTGAGCGAAGCTTACCACCAAGCTGTTTTTTTGTTGCTTGCAAAGAACTTGTAGATTTGGTCTTTCACATCATATCTTTTGTAAGTAGTAAGTTTATGTGGCACCCACACATTTATTCTGATTATATTAGTTTTCTCTTTTTCTTATTTAAGAGTAACAACTGAAGAACCCCCCTAATATCAAAGATTTTTTGATTTTGGTCTAAGCTGGATGCAGAAGCACCCCTAGTCTGAGACCAGAAAAGAGCCAAATGTCTTCTGAACATGAATAGACAACCACATAGCTGTCTACATGCACAGGTGTTCCCATCTGCAACCTCACTGCTCTGTGCCAGGAGGAACAAAGAATACCAACTGACCACGCTTTGCACGGCCTGCTTCAAAGTCCTGCTCTGAGGAAAATAAAGCAGGTACTTCAGCCCACACAGTCTGCATCAACCTCTACCAAGGCAGAATAAAAATGAGGAATTTGTGGACTCTTTTCTTGAAAAGCTATTTAATGTTAAATACCTAAGCTTACATTGGAGACCAGATACCATTCTCCCCTTTGCTAATGCACACCCTACTGTGAGCTGTGGTCATCTTTCCTCTTGCTTTTTCTCCCTACAGACCTGTGAAATTTGTAGAGCTACTCAGCTTTTGAAGATGAATAGGATGTCACTTCCTCATTCTGTCCCAGCTTGAGGTCATTCCAAGTTTCACAAGGTACCTAACTCAGGTGTGTGAATGGTACCAAAGTTTAGAAGATAAGGAACATTTCAGATTCAATCGTCACCTGTTTCCTACTGTGTGGTTTCATTGACCCTCTTGC